CACACTTGGTGCGCGATGTCATAGAGAGGGAGATAAGTCAAGTATTGTGAAATTTGAATGTGAATGTGCATGTGAATGTGAATGTGGGGCCATTTTGCATCTTGACGTGAAAGGCGGGCCAGCCTTGTTAATTGGGCCGCGCGATCTCCCGATGCATGCGGGGGCGCGTGCCTCAATGCAGCGGACTTTTGATTCGAGATTAAAAGTTGTGATTTGAATTCAATGCAAGAACTCATTTCGCGACACGTGCGCCTCCTCAATTCACAACCTTGAATTTTTAATCGTGAATAATCTTGAATCGTGAACATCATAAATCATGAATCAATAAACAGGACACAAGATTGAGGTTGACCTGAAGAACTTTTCATTATGATTCAGATTGACTCTCTCGCCTGAAGCTGTACGGTACAGAACATGTTGACGTAGACTGATGCAATCAAGTAAGATTTGGAAATGGATTTCTGCGCTGCGCATCGCCATTCGGCCTCATATGTATCGTCAACCAAACATCGATCCGAATCGGACTACTTGTTTGATGGCTCTGAATCACCAATTTAATAATACGAATCAGACGAGCGCTCGGTCGGTCTGCGCAGCGCTCAACTTTCGAAGCGACGCCCATATTCTTCTTGATTCTCCTCTTTGGCTTAGCGACAAGTGGACAACATTCGTCTTGATTCCCTGACTCTGTCCGCGGATTCATCACCTTCAAGTTCCGTGATGATTGGTTTCGTTGAGTAACCTAGCTGCGTGATGAGTCGTGAGGGAGTCTGCGACAACCTTGCATGTTGACTCAAGAGCCGCGTCAGCCATCGAGACTGTACTCCAAAGTAGAATCACGCAGACAGCACAGTCTTGATCATAACAATCTCGAATTCAATGGTCTGAGTCAAAGTGGACTGATTGATCATCCCGGATCAAAGCGCTGGCTGCGCCGGCGCAAGACCAAAACACCTGAGCCACGGAAGTCCACGTTTATTTGCAGTCAGAGTCAGAGAAGTGATGACATTGCTTCCTCGCTCATCAGCGTCTCCACGCAGCATACGCTCGCGTGACTTTCGACTCGATCGTGGGTCAAAATTGCACTCTCAGTTGCTTTGACGCTGACACGCGCACCAATCATCTCTATAATATGCATGGGCGGTCACATCCAAGGTCACGAGCGAGCAGTCACAGTCAGAGTGCTGCGCGACGTGCGGGACAACAATCGGCGCCGGGACGGTCAAACGATGCGCGATGAGCCAGCTAAGATTGCGCAGTCACAACGACAACAGATAGCCTTTGAGCTGTGGATGTCGTCGGTGCGCGCGCCGAAGCGTTGCTCGCTTCAGCTGCTCTACAGGCCATAGAGTAATTTCGTGTCGATCGAGTAGTGTGAGCTGCGCGGCGAAATATCGACACGTTCATCTGCGGGCGCTGCAACTGCATGGGAAGATCAGCGGCGGGTGCCAAGGTGCGCTATATATAGCCGCGCTATGTACTGGTCCGCGGTGTGTGCAGCCACGATCTACCTCGGCTTCAACTCAATAACCTAAATCCACGCCGCGGATTTTAGGGTTCGATTGGCTTAGTAGTGATGGTTCGCATCCCTCTCTACTTGGTATTCAAAATGTCCAATTCAAGTGAACCTGATACTCGACGTATGCCAGTGTTCGCCAATAGGTACGCAACGGAAGCGGAAGAGCGGCCGGGTGATGGGGATCCTCACGGGAAGTGTGCGCGGTGAGGCGGCGGCACCTCGGCCACGCCACCGCTCCTGCTCTGACCTGACGGGACTGCGGAGTAACTCGATCGTCTGTCTGTTCGCTCACCGCTCCGTCCCTAGCTGTGACTCATGATTTGGCTGTCGCGCTACTCTGTACGAATGCATGATGCTGAGAATTCTGCTGACTCGGCTTCGGAGCACGAATGCTAGGAATTGCCGGATGCCCAGCTACTGGACCGGTACGGCTCTGACTAGCTATAGCTGCATGCATGGATGCAGGCCTGCTGCATCGCACATCGTTCCCCGCAAATTGTTTAGGCGTGGTGGTCATGACGCCAGATGCGCCGAAATGGTCAGTCGTGCGTGCTGCTTCATGCCGCTCACCACGACATCGACACCAGCTGCATAGTACGACGACACCGCGCAAGATCTTCTTCTTTGGCGCAACCGTGTGAAGCCTCGACTGTCTCGTCTCCTCCGGCTTAGCCACGCTGCAACGCAGGGAGCGTGGCATGCACTCTTGGTGACCGCGCTCAAGACTCGCCCCCAAAGGATGACCAAATCGTCACCGCCGGAGCGCTCGGCTTCCACGACCGCCGCCGCGTTTGGCTTTTTCGCAAGTCAGCCACCCATGAGAGAGGCGCCATTATCAACACAGCAGACATCAGCTAGTGCAAGCCATGAGGAGCGCCTAGCGCCCCCCAATCTCCCTCCTTCTCATCCGCCGCAGCTCTCACCTCAGCCGTTGAGACCGCATTCGTTTCAGAGGATGCCGTTAGGAATGAGCGTTGCTTCCACCTCAACAAGAACCGACAGAGCTACGCCATCCGTGTCACCTCATAGTCGAACAAACACTGCTCCGCAAGGTCCAAACCGTTCTCCTGTGGCAAGCAGCAGTAGCAGCGTAGCGTCGCCTACAGCCTGGTCTGGCTCCTATGCACAGCAAGCTGCGATGCGCTTACACGCATTTTCAACAGGAACCCCCCATCCTGCTCCCTACCCGCTCACCAATCCCGATCACCCTGCCTTCGACGAGGCCCTCAATACATCTGTGGCGGAGCCTGTAGGTCAAGCGAGCGCCTCCTCTGATTCTCCTGGAACTGTACGGACCCACACTAGTTTAGACCAACCAGAGAAGGGTACTGCAGCAAAGATAAGCAAAGGTCCCGCCAAAAAGGCAGACAGCAGCAGCAGCAAATTGGTCAAGGGCAAGAGCAAAGCCAAGATCGAGAATGCTGGGCAGGTCGGGCCCAGCAAAGGAGATGGAAGTGCAAGTGAAGTATCCGGAGATGAGCTCGTAGAAGATCGGAAGCCCGGGTGGAAACGACGGCGGGTGGTGGTGGCTTGCGATAGGTGCAGGCACAAGAAGATCAGATGCAAAGGGCTGCCGAACTCTCGCAACATCTGTAACAACTGTGAAGGCATGGGCTACGAATGTACCTTCGACGTCTCACCGACCAGGTCGAGGGGTAAGTACGAGATCTTGGAATCCAAGGTGTCGACTTTGCTCTCGGCGCTTCGATCCGTAGCACCTGATCTGGCAGAGCAGTACGATCGTGGTCAGCTGGGAGCGGGTCCCCCCGCCATGACGATAAGAGCGAATCAGTCGCGTCGCGTCTCCGTCGACAGCACTGGTGTGAATGCTTCCTCGTCCAGCCTGCGAGAGGATGGGACCACCAGAAGCGTCATGCTCCATGATCACGAGGAAGGGCGACCAAGAGTAAGTGCGGGTGTATCGAGGCATTGGATGTCAATTTGCAGCCTGGAGCTCCTCAATTTTCCCGAATTTTACGTCGTGCTGATCACGCCTACCATGATCTGCAGTTCTTCGGTGCTAACACTAATCGCGCGATGCTAGCGGGCCTAGACAGCCGACCACCGAGTCCGCTTCGCCAAGCAAGAACAGGCAGTGATGCAGCTACCGGTACCGAAAATGCCGCAAAGGCCAGGGACAGCAAGTCTGCGCAGCCCACAGAGTTTGAAAAGCTGCACGCTAGCACTGCCTGGACATCCACGCAGCGTGCGGAGGAGGTTTCTCGCGGCCATGTGCACTATCCTACCAACAGCCTGGAGTGGGTCATGAATCTTAGACGTCGCAACCTCTGCGGTGTTGGAAGAGATGATTTAGATTTCGCAACGCCAAGCTGGAAGGATCGGTATCGCCTGCCGGGACAAGAACTGTTGCGAAGTCTGTTCGATGTCTATTTCGGCCTCTTACACCCAATGATACCCATCCTTCATAGGCCTTCCATGGAACAAGACATTGCCGCAGGAAGAGCCGAGGTGGACGTCGCCTTTCGGGGTCTCGTCTTCACGGTCCTTGCCATTGCTGCTCGATACTCCAATGACCCGAGATGCTGGTCGGATCGATCGCGGCCTCAGACAGCGGGGGATGATTTTGCTGCGGCTAGCCGGCTGTACCATCAGGTGCACTCAGCTAGTCTCATCAATATACAGGTGCTGAGCTTATCTTGCTTCTTTGCGAGCGCCAACATGGGTCCTGGAGTGAGCTGGACGCTACTTGGAGTCGCAATCCGAGGGATATTCGATATCGGAGCTCATCAAGAACGCACGTTGATAGGACTCAGTCTGCTGGAGCAGGAGCTGTTGCGCCGCACGTTTTGGAACCTGGTCACCTTGGATTGCATCTTTGCAGTAAATATGGGGCGGCCGCTTGGCATCCGACTGAGCGACTGCAACGTAAACTTGCCCAGATGCCTGTCGGATGAGGATCTCACTGCGTCCATTTCGACACCTGGCTTGGGGTCGCAAGGTGATCTTTCGGCGCTGCAAATGTGGTTGCACTACATCAAGCTCAGCTACCCTGCCATCGACGCAGTCAAAGTTTTGCAAAGCAGCGTGCGCAAGCTGCAGTATACCGACATGGTGTCGCTACTCGCGCGTGTGGACGATTGGGCCAAGAGCGCACCGAAGACGACCTACCCGCCAGGACAAGCGGTGCTGGATTGTGCCTCGACCGAAGTTCGCATGTACGTATGCTCTTGACGTATGGGCTGCCATCCTTCTGATCAGCAGCTGACCTATCGTCCTCATTCGTCTTCTTCCCACGTGAATGACAGGTACATCATGAGGCCATTCTTGAGGCGGAAAGATGATACGGGCTACCTGCGAAAGATGCTCATGCCCCAATGCACTGATGCAGCCCGCAAGAGCGCTCACTCAGCCGTGCTGATTTGGAAGGGGCTGCAGGACGCAGGAGCGCGAGAGTGCAATTTTCCATGTGAGACAAGCTTCTTTGCAAGGCGTAGCCTTCACGTAGTGGTCTGCTGACTTGGCGCTGCCTCTGTCGTTTCTGCACCAGGCCACACCGTCTGGATCAGCTCTACCACCTTCATGATAACCGTGTGGCACCAACAGCCTGGAGAGGAACTGCTTCGCGACGCGGAACTCATCGAGCACTGCTTATGGATCTTCGACTCGCTCGATTGGCGATGCACCTCCGGGCTTCTTCGACGCGCATATCGGATCTTGTGCGGCATTGCGGAGCGTCTGCTGCCTCATCTTGCCAACGAACGCCAGGACAGCGTCAAAAAGTACATGATCAAGCGCCAAAGTGCCGAATTCGATTCTGGATCTTCGGGACACGCGGACAAAACGGGCCACCCGGCTCTGATACAGCGTCGAGGTAGTCCTGGTACGATATCTATGGCAGCGTGGAATCAGTGGAAAGCGACCGCGTCAAGCTCGTCCAGCTCTCGTGCAACAGTTGCGCGATCCACCAGCTCAAATCCGGCTTTAAACCGTCCACCTCACGCACCAGAGGTCTTTGGTCAAGCGACGAATCATGGCTTGCCACCAGAAAGCGCGCAAACGGGCACCGGCGCGCCAGATTGGCCACCTTGGGCAGAGGGCGAGTTCACCGCCAATTGGCAAGGTGGACAATTCCCGAATTCTTGGAGTCCGATCGAGAGCGGAGCATTTGGTGGTCGAGGAGAGACAGACGACATAGCGTGGGCGGATTATTTCCTGCGCTTTCTCAACGAGGGTCAGCCGGACGGGCTGCCAGCTTCACATCCGCCCTCCTTCAGCAACAACCCCTCCTTCTATGGATCCAACTACGGCCCCTTGACCGGCACTTGAGCGCTTACGCGCAACTGCACGTAGGTCGCAATAGAAATTGCCATTTACATCCACACCAAGGCTCGTGGTTGCTAGCGGAGCGCAGAGCTACGAGGCAATACGACTCTAAGGACAGTCCACTCCACGTGCGCCGGGAGCTGGCTGATTAATGGCATTGTGCGATGTAGAATCTGCGGTTTGATGAAAGGTACTCTACAGCGGCGACGCGGTACAAGGGGGTCAGGCAGCTTTGGATGGCGAGACGCTCCTGTCATCTGTATTGAGCTATGAAGAATAAGTCGACCATAAGCAGGAGCTAGTGTCCGAATGCAGGTGGTGTGCTAGCGTCGCGGGTATCACTGATGAGGTTGTCGCGGGAAGAAGGCGATGCGCATAACGTCCGCTGGGAGGAGCAGTCGCTCTGCTCTACGGCGCTCAAGTGTCGGTTCTTGAGTGTTCTGTTGCATAACCAACAGCTCTCGCTCTATACAATGCTCGCCTGCCGCTTCCTCTTCCCAACGAAGCAGGCGCTTCCATCTCTAGGGCGTGCAGAGCATCCTGCATAGTGACTTGCCGAGCCCTAGCCTTCTCTTCCGCCTCCTTGGCTCTCTGACGCTCCGCTAGATCAGCCCAGCCTGAGGAGTTGATGTTTCCGTCTAAAGCGCCCGCCACACTGACGCGGCCCGTGTGCGCATGGGGCGCAAGACCGCTCCACTCTTTCTTGAGCCCTCCACTCAGTCCAGAGCCCTTGGCAGAGCCTTGACTGAGTATACCACTGGGTTGCGGAGCGAAGCGTGGACGCGGCAGCGCCCCCAATCCTCCCGGCGTCGACGTGCCAGAGACATCTGCGCTGGAACCTTTGTCTTCCGCGCTGACATTTCCGGTCCGGTTCGCAAGCGGACTGGCCGCGGCCGACGCGTTGACTGCAGCAGACATTTGCATCCACTTGGGCGTGTTGGCAGCCGTTCCCAAAGCCCTTGCGGCAGTATTGTTGGCTAGCCGACGCCTGACATCTTCAGACATGTTCTTCGCTTGAGCGGCAGCTCCGAGAGGACGCTTCCTGGTTGCCTCTCGTGAGCTTCCGCCATCCGCCATCTCAACGTCGTCATCCAAAGTCCCAGCAGCTTCCTTCTCATCACGTTCAAATCTGATTCTCCTCGCGGCTTGCTCGTTGGTGCGCTCGACCCTTTCCAGAGCTCGCAGTTGTTTTTGAGGATCGGTGCGGATACGCTGATGATACATCGGCGTCGCTCCATCTTCCAGGGACTTCTTGCGTTCCCAGAAAGGTGGCTCTCGCTCATGCGAGGACCATGTGCGGTGACGAGAAGCGGTGATCATGGACTCGACAAGACTTCGGACTCTAGATTTCGTGGCGAGCGAGAGGTACTGTAGCACAGCGCCCTCAACTTGCAGCTCGTTCTTTTTAGCTGCGCAAAATTTTGCCAGGCGTAAGGGTTAGCTGTCTGGAGGAAGGAGCCCGAACGATCCGAGAAGTCTGCTCACCAATCTGCAAGACGCGAGCAGATAAAGTGAATGGGTCTAAGAAACTACTCGAATTGGCATACACCGCTGCTCGGACCTCTCCGGAAGCCTGAGCGCCTTGCAATCCCATCGCGTGCTCTTCGGCCTAAGAAGGGGAGTGGATGTTTTGAAGCATATGAGTACAGCAAATAGAAAGAGGCGACAGCATGACCATTACGCACCCCAAGATCCACGCCCGAGGAGCCAATGACATCTTGTAGCGCATCAACGCCTTGAGCTGTCTGAGTTTGCGTGGGTGCTGAGGTGACTGCCTGACCACGGCTGAGTGGCAGTCTGTGTGATGGTGCTGGCGGAGTTGTAGCAGTGACCCGACCAGGCTGTGCATCTGGAAGCTGCGGGTTTTGCCCCTCCAAAGGCGTTTTGGGCAGCACCTCAGATGACAAAGGCGCTTCAATCGCCTCCGTTGCAGTGCTTTCAGCTGGAGTAGGGACACTACATTGGACGGCAAGGAGAGGAGCGCAGAGTAAGAGATGGACTTGTACGGAGAGCAGCAACACCTACGCACATTGCGTCTCCTCTTCCTTGCTGCTGCTGCTGCTGCTGCTGCTGCTGTTGTTGTTGTTCCTGTTCCTGTTGCTGCTGTTGTTTAGATTTTCGCTTCTTTTTCGGAGCTTTTGGACCCTGGGGCGCGGCTGTTTGCAGCAAGCACAGGGTAGACAGCGTTGCGTGGTCAGCCCAACGCAGATGCATCACGAGTGTGATCAAGTCGCTCGGTCGGCGCCAAGGAGTGCTGAACCGGAAGTATTTTCAAAGATGCCGTTCGAAAGAGCTCACCTTGAGAATTCAGAGACGTATCAGCAGCCTCCCCGTTATTAGTGCCTGCCTCACCAGACGCAGCATTTTCCGCCTTGTTTTTCTTCTTTCGGGGCTTTGGTTGGGCTTTCTTTCGTTGCTTGCCCGGGGGCGCACCTGGGATGGGTTCGACGTGCAGATCACGAGGAGGCCCATGCGGAGGCATGATGCTGTTGTCAGCTTGACTTTCGGGTTGGGACCCTTGCGACTGCTGCTGTTGCTGCTGCAGGTACGGGTGTTGATGCTGCTGATGCTGTTGGAGTTGGACTTGCTGCTGTTGAGATGGTGCGAGTGGTGGACCCATCGGCACGTGAGGTTGCAAAGATGAGCCCGAAGGCGTAGGAGCTGAGGGACCCGGCGAGGGACTCGGGCCTCCCCATATCTCGTTGGGAGCGCTGCCAAGATTGGATGGTGAAGAGGCGGCTTCGGGCCAGTTTGAGGATAAGGGAGCTCCGCCCACTGCACTTTGTCCGGCATTTGCTTCCTGCGAAGAGGGGTCATTCAGTCCAGGAATGAAGCCCAAGTCAGCCCAGTCGCCTCCGCTAGAGGTGCTGCCGGTATTGCTGTTACTTCCGCCTGTGAAAGCGCCGAATGAGACTGGTTGAGAGAGAAAGGCACTCGCGTCCATGCTGCTTGCTGCCATGCTGCCGCTCGACATGCTGGATCCACCGTAAAAGTTGGCGTCTACACCGCCAATGTGATTGAAGCCGCCATTTGCGTTGTGACCACTCCCATTCGGTAGAGAGGCGTGATAGTCGGGTTGCGGCTGGAAGCCCATGGATGATCCTGGCAGGCTGGTGTGAAGAGGACGGGAGTGATCAGAGTGATGATAACCGAAGTGACCAGGTTGGGGGCCGAAGTGCTGCTGTGGAAGTCCACCCATGTGAGAGGGGACGAAGCCAGACTCTGTCTTGATCCTCTTGTTGGATGCTGCATTCGAATTGCCATTTCCGTTGCCGTTTCCCATCATAGTCGGACTGTATGCCGCCGCGGACGGCGGAGTGCCAGCTCCGGACGCCATGTCGACCGGGGGCTGAAGACAGATCTGCTCGCACTGCTTCGATACTTGAAGACCGACTGAGCACCAATTGAACGGTTTGCCTGTCCTGTCCCTCGGGATCCCCTGGGCACGCTGACGCGACGGAACTGGTCAAGCCAGGTGCGAGAGTCGTGTTCTAGACAGTCGCGATGCTCATCGAGTCCCCGAGGAGCGATAAAGACTCTGAAAGGCCGTCGTCCAGACGACAGTCCGCTTTGAAGTACGAGTTGTGCGCCGTCGAGTGCAGTGGGTTGAAAAGGCCAGAAGCCTTTGAAAAGGGTGAGGTGAAATGCCTCAGGCTGGCTGCGCGTGGGGCCGACCAAGAGAAGATCGATGGGAGAGGTATGTACAAGGTCGTCTTATCTCGTGAAGGTTCGTAGCTAGGACTGGGACGAAGGCGGGCCGAAGGAGAAAGAGATTGAATGGTAGCGCCCTAGGTGGAGCTGCGTTGCGATGAAGCAAGTCGAGAAGATCGCGACTGATGTGGCTTTGACTTCTCGGCCGAGACTATGTACGCGTAGTTATATAAGGCGAGGCGTGGCGCGTCAGTGGCGCGCGCGCGCTAGTCTCACGTTTTTTGGTGGGGCTTTACTGCTGCTCAGTCGCGGTGACGGTATATCGAGGGGAAATCGCGCAGGGCAGGCGGGCAGGCGGACAGGCGGACAGGCGCAGGTTTGTGGAGGAAGCGGTCGGGGGAGAGGGACGCGTCGGTGCGCAACCCCGGTGGTCTATTATATAGACGCGCCGCATCGACGCAGACTGGCAGCGTCTCAAGGACTGGCACTTTATCTGCGCGACATCACTTCCACGCGATCCATGCAAGCAATTTGAATATCTCCACAGCAGCAACCCTGCATCACCCACGCGCGCCGCGCTGCTCATATGTGCTGCTGCTGTGCTCCAGTCGCGCACGAGTTGCTGCCGCGCTGGCCGCCGAAAAAGAAAAGGGGAAGAGGAAGGGCTTTTTATACACAGCAATTGTGAGTACAGCGTGTATACGCGTATGTGCAGCAGGCAGGATACCGCGCGTTCAACGGTGTACAGTAGTAGTAGTAGCAGCAAAGCGACGCGACACGCGTGCGCAGCGCGTGGCGGATTCAAACTCGTGACTGCTGCTGGTGATTGAGATCTCGCGGTGATGATGCTGTACGTAAGAGAAGTGAGCAACGCCAGTGTGATGATCACATGGTTGCGTGCAACTCTCTGCTTCGCAGATCTCTGCACTGACCACCAGACCGACAAGCTACGTGAGTGTTGCGGTATTGCTGACGACATTAGATGTCGCGGCGGTGTACATGTCTATATGCAGTAGTCGAGAGTGGAGAGTGGAGAGTCGAGAGTCAATAGTGTCTTTAGCAACATCTTAACACCAACGCCGCCGCACGAGGTCGAGTTTGCAATTTGTTCAAGATTGCGGGTCAAAAGAAAGACTTACGACTCTCGAACAGCAGCTAGTCAAGTTGTGACAGCGCGCACGAATACTCGTGGCTCTCCCAATGACTCATGGACTTGCAGGTGGCATGCTCAGCCTCGGACTCATGAAGATTCTCACCTCCTCCTCCAACACCACTCACAGTAGAGTCATGAGTAGTGACTATTACCCTGCTCTTCGTGATTCTTGATTGTGTGTAGCAAGCAGTCGAGAGGCGCGCAATTTCATGTGCGCATTATGGTGGCCGAGCTTTGTTGATCCGACCACGCTGCTCTCCACTCACCGCGGTGTGTGTGCTGCATACGTGCTGCATCTGCGCATATACCGACGTTCACGCCCTTCCATTTCGATTGCCATGCTTATTAAGACTCTGCCTATATGTCAACTTGACGTCCATTCAGCATTCACGTATTCGCTCACACATATCTCATAGTGTCTGAGCCCAAGCAGGGCGATCGTTCATCGTCCATAAGCACACTCGTCAGCTCCAAAATCCTCTACCGCAACTACTCCTCCTGGTGGATCGCTGCTACCGGCGCAGGTCTCATTCGCCACCCCACTATTCTCGCAGCTCTCGACACTAGATTTCTGCGTTGCTGGTATTCAATCGCCAACAGATTCAGACACAACTCCACCTTCTCACCGAAAGACGCTGAGGAATTCTGTCAGCATTGCATCACCACCATGGCGCCTATTCCGCCTGCGCTCGTCCGTCTGCTGACGGGTCTCGCAGCCGAGCAAATCACACGTCGGGTGAGTCTGTGCATGCTCTGAGCGCCTCGTAGCTGTCCGAGCAGCGATTCTGACCCTCTCCTCCACCTCCTCGTGATGACAGCTGGCCGCTTCACCAGTATTCCAGTCCTTTGTTCACAGAGTGCTTCATGAAGCGGATCATTTGCCCCATAGACTGCAGGGTAGAGAAGTTCCACCTTGGAGAGACCCGCATGTGGGCAGACATAATGGGCCGGGGATGATGGGTAAATTTGGTGAGTGGGTGCTGCGTGTCAGTGCGCGTAGAAGTCACGAGTGAAAGAAAGGTATAGAATACAAAAACTTTGGGGTACCAGAATCCGAGAAGCTAAGGACGTTCGTGCGACTCCACCTCTGGCGAACTCGCATTTCATGTGCGCCCCAAGGAACTTCGATGATGGTTTCCCATACTCTCGGAACGCTAGCCTTGTGGACGCTGCAAGGCTGTTCTCACATGTGCTTTGTTGCTGCCCTCTTTCTCACGCATGCGCGTCACACGCAGAGGATCCAGGCGAGCCACACGACGAGCCATCACCGTTTTCGTCTTCAGCGAAACCGAGCGATGCCCGAGCCCATGCATCATCATTCTCAGCGGAGTCATCCAAAGGCGCCAGGAACAACACCGCACATCGCGTTCCCAGGGACAAGGTCTGGGCAGACAGACTAGAGAAGCAAGCGATGGAGGAGGACAAGAGATTAGAGGAGGCGCAGACGAAGGAGAGAGAGTTTCAGGAGCTGATGGATAGGCTGAGGAACGGACCTGGAAAGAGATGACGACGTTTCACCCACCATCACTCCGAACTTTGCTCGACTGCCTCCAACGTTTCCGCTCCTGCCACCCCTCCTCTGCAGCATACACTTGTATCATACCATCGCATTGCATTCGACTTGCCGCTTTACGTGTGTGCGCTGTGCGCCACGCATTGTGAGCGCAAATTGCGCACGCGGCGCCTAACGGTACAATGGAGCGTGGGAGATGCAGCAGGGCGTGTCAGCACATACCTTTTGCTGAACGCTCACTTGGACATGTCGGCGACGCCTGTGGCGCAAGCAGAGGGAAACGTTAGGGGCGCGAAACCACGAGCAGCTCAGCAAAAGTTTGGGCAAACCTCTATCAACTCACATCGAATGCAGTCTCCGGCCTTCATGTAGTCGAAGCCCTTTTGTAGCTCGGACAGAGTAGTCTCGTGAGTGACGTAGTCATCCAGCTTGATGGGCGACTTGCCATCAGTGTACTGCGGATGCTCGATGGAGCCAAGGTTAGGCTGCAGGCCAGGGGGAAACAGTCGGCGGCTTTGCCATCACTCACTGCGTCGACCATTGCTGGAAGCTCAGTTTTGCCCTTGACGCCACCAAAGGCCGATCCTTGCCACTTGCGACCAGTGACAAGCTGGAAGGGCCTCGTAGAGATCTCTTGGCCCGCCTGAAGGTGTCGCAGTCCAAAGCGCGCATCAACGTCTGTAGCTCGAGTGCTCTCGATTGAGACCGGCGTACTCACTGCTGCCACACCAATGACGGTACTGACACCCCAACCCTTGTGGCAAGCTTCGAGCGCAGCGCGCATGACCTTGACGTTGCCCGTGCAGTCAAAGGTGTAGTCCAATCCGCCGTCTGTCAGCTCCACGAGCTTCTCCACTACGCTTTGATCTCCCAATTTGTTGGAGTTGACAAAGTCGGTCGCTCCAAACTTTTTGGCCCAAGACTCTTTGCCGTCGTTGATATCCACAGCGATAATCTTGGACGCTTTCCGGGCCTTGGCGCCCTCGATGACGGCCAAGCCCACGCATCCGACACCAAAGACAGCCACTGTGGCTCCCTCTTCCACCTTGGCAGTGTTGGTCACAGCACCAAATCCGGTGGTGACGCCGCAACCAAGCAGGCACGTCTTTTGCTGGTTCGCCTTCTTGTCGACGGACACCAAGGAATGCTCCGACACTACCGTGTATTGACTGAAGCTGCTTGTGCCCATAAAGTGCTTGATGTCTTGGCCCTTGACCTTGAAGCGCACCGTCTTGTCCGGCATCACTCCTTGGCCTTGCGTCGCTCTGACAGCTTGGCACAAGTTCGTCTTGCCGCTCTTGCAGAACTTGCACTGCTTGCACTCGGCCGTGTAAAGGAGGATGACCTGATGACAAACGGGCGCAGCGTCTTGTCTGTCAGACCGAGCAAACGCGTCAGCAAGCGACGCAGCCAGCACGCTTACCGAATCTCCTTCCTTGAATTCCGTGACTCCTTCACCGACGCTCTCGACGAATCCAGCACCCTCGTGCCCGAGAATCACTGGGAAAGCACCCTCTGGGTCGCTGCCAGAAAGTGAGTACGCGTCCTGTGCGGTCGAGGTAGCCGTCTCGAGCTGGTCAGCCCAGCTCTCTCTACTGACGCTCACAACTTCAACACGCTCACGGTGTGGCAAAGACCAGTGTAGGTCACCTTGACGCGTACCTCTCCCTTTTTGGGAGGTGCCACTTCGACATCTTCGATGCTGAGCGGCTTGGCAGCTTCCCAAGCCACAGCGGCTTTGCAATGAATGGGCTTGCCTGCGGTAGATGACATCGTGCGGAGGAGGATGCGTTGATGGAGGCAGATACGAGGCTTACAGGTCAGATCTCGAGGTTGGAGGTGGAGAAGGAAGAGGACGAGGGCAAAGGGAGATGTGATGTTCAGATCTGACTTGTCAAAAACGATGATGGCATGCAGAGATGGCGCGCGCATCGCGGAGGAAGAAGGGTGCGGCGCACGACACCCGGCCGTGCAGCAGCGTGCACCCGCGCACACAGTGGACGTGCCTGCCTCCACTTGCATCCCCTCAAGCTTCCAGCGTTTCTTGCGTGGCAAGTGGAAGCGTGGCTGCGTGACTGCGTGACTGCTGGTGTGTGACCCTCTCCTCTAACTCAACGACTCACGACGATCGTGAGTGATGGTGCTGATTACTTGCGGCTGTACAAGGTACCAGCACCTTATACCGCGCGCTCGCCATTCGTGATTCGTGAATAGTGGCTGCAAGCTCATAGCGATAACCCACGAAACAACCCGAGGCAAGCTGCTGCAACTCCATCACGAATGCGCACAGCTATGATTAGGCTACAGTCGCGAGTGCGCATCATCAACGCCCGGCCGGATTAGGAGCTGGAGTAAAGCCGCGGCATGGCCATCAGAGGGGAGAAGAAGCAGCCGTAAATCACTTGACTGTTGCTTGTGTGCCTGTGATTCGAAGCGTAGCCGAGAGTGATCCAGATCTTTGGCCCAACGAATCTCACACTTTGCTCTGGTTCAACGCACGTCAAGCTTGACTGTCAAACAAGCGTTCCGTGCCTGCCATCGAGGTTCACACGTTGGTTGGCCCCTCCGTTCTGAAAGAAGTGAGCTTGGTGCACGGCTTAATTCCCACCGACCTCTTGAACCTTCACTTCAAGCCTCTTCGACTGTCACAACGAATGCAACCTTGCTCAGCTGCTCCGTGTCTGACTCATCAAGGGTATACGCTCGTTTGAGCGACACATCGACACCTTCGACGTTCCACATTCTGACTCACGATTGGCTACTCGCGATTGATGTGCGCCCGCTCACGAGCATCGCACGTACACGCTTAGAGAAGCGCATCCGAGCACCAACTCACGATTCAGAAGCAACTTCACAGCTCATGGAGCAATGTCTGCTAGCCTACTGAATCGGTCGAAAATGCTGACTATTTGCTGATTTCTTCATGGCGAAGCATCAAGCAGCGGCTTGAAGCCTTCGAAGCTTGCAGAGAGTTGAGCAGCCGATCAGGCCACGTGGCTCACCACGCTGTTGAACTGTCATGCCGTTGCGAAGTTGAGCCCCAGCATGGGCGCAGCGCCAGGCTTACACCTGCAGCAAGCTGCTGAGACCATCGCGACTGCGCCTGCGCGTGCAGCAGCCATGCAAGCACATCCAAGCGCCCATGCCATGTTGCGCTACTCACAACTCTCCTACTTATGCGAAGGTAGAGAAGAGCTATAGCTACACTTGACTGCTGTGATGCTCGACTCAGGGTAATGCGCCATCGGACATGCTCCCACCTGACCTCGTATCAGCGGGAGAATCGGCAATCCAACGGACCGCCGCCATGCAGCAGTGCAGGAGTGAGCGAGTCTTGAGTGGCACACGCTCGCACCGCCGGTCAGCATGCTCTATCCGCAACAGTTAATCTCGAGCAGTCGCATCCAGATTTGGTGCAGGTACTCACGACTCATGACTGGATGTCGATCTGAATGGCGTCTCGAAAGACCTTTCTTTGCAGGCTCCTCAAGCCATCAAGACGTCCTCAGCACGTCCGTCAGAGGCTACATCTTTCCTCACGTCACAGCGAAAACTTCGCTGAAGCGCCGAGTCACGCGAGAGCGAAAGCGGCAAGTCTGGTCGAGTGTACCTACTCACACTCAGACTGCAGCAAGCAGTCACGAGTCGCGAGTGCAAGGATATCACGCTAAAACCACGGACTGCATGCATGCTTCGCAGCTTGCGTTGCCCTTCTCCCACATTTTGACGGCTTGACCGGCTTGACCCCCGTCTGCTGGTCCGTCGAGAGCGCGAACGTGCGCTCACGGCAAGCTTCTGCTGGAGTTTCGTCGCTGCCGAGCGGCACGCTTGTTCGCGAAAGTGTGAGTGTCGCAAGCAGCGTTCGTGCGTCTACCTGCAAGTCGTCAAGTCGCGCTCATCACGATAAGCGCTGATTCTCTTTCGACTAGCGTCTTACCGGCAGCTTGCGCCGATTTAGAGCTCTTCGTGTTCGCGGGCAAGTCTACAGTCAGAGCTGCGAGGAACGCCAGGGGCAGAGATTCATTGCAGGTGGTCAGGAACGTGTGTGACCGCATGGTCTGGCGCAAGGCTTGCCTTTCCTGCTCCCCGTCCTCGAACCCTTTCGACAGCGAGCGCTGATATATAGCCTCCTTGCTTGAGTGAATCTTCACCCCGCAGCAACGCAAACTGTTTACTGCATCTCCGTGTACCCACCACCACAAGCATCGCTCACAACGACATCAACCTACAATCATACAGAGTCCTGGGCGCCATGTCTGCACAACAGGGCGGGGTCCTTCATGATGCCGGCACGTACGAGGATAAGAAGGGACAGCCTTCGGTCGAGGTCAACGAGGTAGGCTCAAACAAGAAGAGCACCATCAAGATTGGAAAGGAGCTGGGTCCTGTCGCTCGTAAGTGTCAAGGTGCTCTGAGCGTGACTGCACCTCTATGCTAGAGTGCTGCCCTCAGTCGCGAAGCTGGATGCTCGGCCCTAGGTGACCTACGACTTGCTCTGACAAATTTGCTGTTCCGCCTGCGACGCTCTCATTCCAGTGATCTTCGCGTGTGGCACTGCGCTCTTCTCCGATGGCTACATCAACGCCGCTAGTGGTCCAGTAAAGACCATTCTTGGTGTGCTCTACGAGAACCGCAATCCCAACTTAGCGCACGACCTTTCCTTGTTTAGCAGTCTGGCCTTCGCAGGAACAGTCGCAGGCATGCTGATCTTTGGTGTGCTGACGGATCGGATTGGACGCAAGCCTGGAATGCTATTCTGCTGCATCTGGCTCACGCTCTGGTCCATCATCATCGCTGGGGCTTGGGGAGCCGGTGGAAGCATCTCTGGTCTTTTTGTAGCTCTACAAGCTTACCGATTCCTTCAAGGTATCGCATTGGGTGCAGAGTACCCTTGCGGCTCCGTGGCTGCTAGCGAAAACACCGAGGCACCCGGAGTCAACCCAAAGCACACCCAGTCTCTCTTCATCCTTGCCACCAACACTGCCATCGACTTTGGCTTCGTGGCAGCCAGCTTGGTAGCTGCTATCCTACTCGAAATCTTCAGCGAGAGGCATTTGGAGTGGGTCTGGCGACTCACGCTCGGTCTTGGCGCTTTGCCACCCATGATCATCTTCTTCTTCCGCACCAAAATGCACGAGCCCGAGCAGTTCAAAAAGGGCGCCATCAAAAAGCCAACCGCAAAGCTCTGGTGGCTCATCATCAAGAAGTACTGGGTCAAATTATCAGCTGTCTCGCTTTCCTGGTTCATCTACGACTGGGTGTCCTATCCGTGAGTCAGCTTCGAGCCGCCTCCCCCCTTGCGTCGCATTACGCACATCGCGCTGACTAGGTTCGCATCTCTCACAGCGCTGGTCTGTACTCGAGCTTCTTCGTCTCGGAGCTCGTACCTGACAACGACTTGCAGATCAGTCTTTGGTACGGTGTGCTCATCAACGCGTTCTACATTCCGGGCACCATCATCGGTGCGCTCCTCTCCGACAGACTTGGACCCAAGAATACTATGATCCTAGGACTCTTCATCCAGGCCGCCTTCGGTTTTGGGCTTGCTGGAGGTTTTGGCGCTCTTCGAAACGAGAGCATCGCTGGCATCATCGTGCTGTACGGTTTCTTCGTCGCAGCCGGAGGTGAGCGAGGCTAGCAGATGCATGCACGCAGCAAAGTGCGTCCCCTGATTTGCAAAATGTGTCTTCTTCCCGCCCCTTACTCAGAGATGGGCCCCGGAAATAATCTGGGTCTCTTGGCGTCCAAGGCCGTAGCACCGACTGCTGTTCGAGGAACATTCTACGGCATCGCAGCAGCCATTGGAAAGGTGGGCGCCTTCGTGGCCACCTACGTCTACGACCAGATTCAAGCCGACCTGTCATCCGACGAGAATGCCACCATTCGCTTCTCTGGCCCATTCTACATTGGTGCAGGCTTGGCGCTGGTCAGCGCTGCCATCGTCTTTGTCTTTATTCCTCAGGTCACCCATGATGGTATGAAGAAGCTCGACAGGGATTTTGAAGCCTACCTCCTTGCTAACGGGTACGATCTCAGCTTCATGGGCATGGAGTCCACCTCGCCCCCCGAAAAGATTGAGGATGTCAAGGACACCGAGTCGCCTCAGGAGGAAAAGGAGGGTATCGGTGCCGATGCGGAGAGGGAGCAGGCTCGTCGGCAGACGGAGGCTTGAGCTCGAGGAGGCATGCCCTGCACTGTTACATGCCCTTCTCGTTATGACGACCACTTGACGACTGTGATGCACTTTGCGCTTTGTACATTTTCCCCTATGCATTTCGTCACCCCTTGCTCGGCCATTTGTGATGCTGGGCTGGTGCGACTTCGATCGCAGTTGCTCTGCCTTGACGGGAGACTTGATGAAAATCGTCGGCGCGGCTGTTGTGCTTCGTTCGCCGAGGGATCGGAGTGAGCTGCGTTCCTGCATGCAGCAGCGGCCCACGATGCGGCAGAGCGATCGAGCGGGCCGTTGCGCAGCGCGCAGGCGTGGCGCGCCTGCAACGCGGGAGGCCGTGCGCGCGCTACCGCCGGCGACTTGGATGTTATCATCACGCGCCGCCATGAGTTTATGCTGGCTGATGTCCCATACATCCCGATCGCAGCACCTCCGACATTCCACAGCCTCGCCCTGAAGCGCAATCTCTTTGAGCGACTGCTATAGGCTCTACGTTCACGATTGACTGCTCTCCTCGATCACCACTCGGGTGCAAGTCGACAAATCGGGGTCGAATTCACTTTGCGGTGCTCGCTATCGTATCAATCGTACCACCAACCCTCAATCAGACAGCAGCATCGCTGGTCGACGCTCGCTTTGCTCTCTGTACTGCAATCTCTGAAGCCGAAGCCATCCCAATTCCTCCAGTGCGGCGTCCAACACCTCTACTACTTCAAGATGGGTGTGCGCGACACGCTCAAGAAGAATTTGGATCCAGAGACGTTTGTGGACAGCGTGTCGAAGCTGGGCAGCGGTTTCGCAGCGATGATGAATCCGAATCACCGACACGACGAAGCGCACGAAAAGGAAAAGGACGAGATCCTGCAATCCATTCGTGATTCTCACAGGTTCAACTCGTTTGCCGGTGTGAGATCTGGCAACCGCGCAAAGTGGTATTCGGATGGTCACGATTACTTTTGGGCATTGTCTGAACTGCTTGACAATGCCAAAGAGACGATCTTTATCCTCGATTGGTGGCTCACCCCGGAACTCTATCTCAGGCGTCCTCCTCACCTGTACGAGGAGTGGAGACTGGACAGACTGCTGCAGCGCAAGGCGGAACAAGGAGTTCAGGTTCGAATTATTGGTGAGTGGCATGGCGCAAGAAGTTTGGAGAGCGGTGCGTGACAGTGCGGGGCATAGATTTAGCTGAATGTCTGCCCTTGCGTAACAGTCTACAAAGAAGTGACGGAGACGATGACGATGAGCTCTGCACACACCAAGCACGCGCTCGAGGACCTGCACCCAAACATTCGCGTCTTCCGTCACCCCGACCACATGCCGCATGGGGAGATCACTCTCTTCTACTCGCACCACGACAAGGTGGTCGTCGTCGACGCTGAGTACGCTTGTGTCGGTGGGCTTGACATCTGCTTTGGACGATGGGATACGCAATCGCATCCCCTCTCCGACTGTCACCCCTTCGCCATGCTGGAACGCACGCTATTTGTTGGCCAGGATTACAACAACGCTCGAGTCATGGACTTTGCCAAAGTCGACGACTTTATGAACAACCAGCAGAGCAGCCTGAGCTTGGGGCGCATGCCATGGCATGACGTGCACGTCACCTTCACCGGTCCTTCGGTGCTCGACGTCGCTTACAACTTCATCGAGAGGTGGAACTTCGTCAAGGAGCTCAAGTATGGCAAGGGGTACAGCCTCATCGCTTTCCCGCACGGCGCTGTTCCCGCATCGGATGTGCTTGAAGAGCATCAAGAAATCGCTCGTCATCCTCACATGGAGCGCTTTCACGAATATGGAGAGAGGTTCATGCATCCATGGCATCCCGAGCGCAGAAAGCTTCAACTTTCGGATGGTGGCTCTGTGGGCGCTAATGCTACCATGGACGTGCAAGTTGTACGCAGCGCTGCGGACTGGTCGAGCGGCATCTTGACCGAGCATTCGATCCAGAACGCTTTGGTCGAGCTGATCCGGACCGCGTCGCACTCCATCTACATTGAGAACCAATTCTTCATCACAGCCACCCAGCCTGGACAGGTGGTCAACTGCGTCGGTGCAGCCATTGCGAACCGAATCATCTCGGCAGCGAAGGATGGCAGGCGCTTCAAGGTGGTCATCGTCATTCCCTGCATCCCTTGCTTCGCAGGCGAGCTTCAGGAAGCGGCGGGAAACCGCACCATCATGCAGAAGCAATACGAATCCATCAATCGTGGAGGCAAGTCCATCATGGAGGTGATCAAAGCTGCAGGCTACGATCCGCACGAGTACATCAGCTTTTGGAATCTGCGCGGCATCGACCGGATCCCGAGCGGCATTGTGCGCGAGACGGAACAGGCGAGCGGCATCACTTATCATCAGGCGCAAGTCGCGCTCGCCAGGGTATATATCGGTGATGCGGCGTACCAGGACGGCAGAAAGAAAATCGCCATCAAGGTGCCGAGCAGCGAGCCTGATGCGCCACTCGACAAGGATGGCAAGAAGAAGCTTTCGACCGTCGAGGAAGTGGAGATGCCTGCAACGAGCCAAGAAGCGTTGGAAATTCTCCGGAAATTTGCGAATGGAACGCCCGAAAGAGCGAGGGGCTTGCAGGACTCCATTGCAAGCGCCTTTTTGCACGGCCAACCTGACATCACGGAGTCACAATGGCAGGGATCGGAAGAGGAGGAAGTCAATGCTTGGGTTACTGAAGAGACTGTGAGTGCACATTTGCGTGGCGATTGTTGGCGAAAGGGTGTTGACATTTGTCTTCTTCCGATGCCCACTGATGCAGTATGTACACTCCAAACTGGCTATCTTTGATGACCGCACCGTTTTGATTGGCTCAGCCAATCTGAACGACCGCAGTCAGGCAGGTGATCGAGACTCTGAAAGTGAGTCTGATCTGCCAGCCGCATGGCGCCCTTCGCTGACATAACCATCATTCTTTGTTGCTTCCGAAAGCTGCAATCGTCATCGAGGACCATGACATGTTCGAGAGCAAGATGGATGGCAAGAAGGTAGGCACAGTAAGCTTCGCCTGCGCACCGCGGACATACCTGAGCTGACTAGAAAACATCGTGTCACAGTACATGGCAAGCCGATTCGCTGCTAGCTTCCGCAGACATCTCTATCGCCAGCATCTTGGCTTGGTCGCACCACAAGAATGCACGCCAGAGACTGCAAAAGACCAGCCCACTCCAGCGCAGCGTCCTGCTCCGCATCCCTTCCCAGATCCCGAGCGCAAGGCTCACGAGGAAGAGTGGGAGCAGCTCGTCGAAGATCCCCTCTCTCCCGAGCTGGAGGAGATCTGGCGCAGACAAGCGCGCACGAATACCGCCATCGTCGACGAGCTCTTCCAAGTCGTGCCTTCCAACCGAGTTCGCAATTGGAAAGACTACGACAGCTTCTTTGTCGCCCGAGGAGCACGCACTGGTCACATTGCCGAACCTGGCAAGCGAAGCGCTCAAGAAGTCAGACAGAGACTGGCAGGCTACAAGGGCTCGCTTGTTGAATTTGCCTACGATTTCATGGATGGAGATAACTTTGAAAAGACAGACCTCACTACTAGCAAGGCTTTGCTCGACCTCTACACTTAGGCAGCCTTGCGCTGCGCTTCGCTGCCATTGGGCGCAATTTCTTGCGTATCGCCAGAACGTCCCACTTTCAGTGACTGTGCTTTGTGCTCTCTAACTTTCGACCTCTGACCCTCGCCTGGCCAGCCCTTGGCTCAACGCATGTATCGAATGTGAATGTACCCCTTACGACCACTTACGCGAAGTTCATGTGGTTTTCTGGGTTGACCTTCACACATGTGGGTCAAGAAAGAGAGGTCTTTCGTGCCAGCAGCGCTTTCACAACCAAGCCGCCTCCTTGCATGATGCCGACTCACAATTCATGACTGTCCTTCCTCAGCCGTCCAATTCAGTGCCATTTGCCTAATGAGACTCGACAATCCTGCGTTGTGTGTTGGGGCACGAGCGGGAAAAAAGGTGCGGATACGTGCGTCACATCTGTCAATCGCGAATGGTGAATGTCTGCGCTCTGATATGCGCGCGTATGCATGTTGGCGTCTCGACCATGTGATCAAACTTGCCGT